GGGTGGCGGGCGTGGGCGGCCCAGGTGGTTGGGGTGGATGGTCTGGGGCCCTGGTGAATAATGAAAGTATAAAAACATGGCCTGCAAAGGGAGTCGCAGTTGCCTCTGGAGCCAAGTGTAGAGGGAATGACTGGGTGAATGGGACTGGGCAGGAACTAACATAAAGCAGACCCAAAAAGCTTCAGTTCACTAATAGATGCAGACCTGTAATGTTTGCTGATTCTGGGAAGCAAGAAGGAGACCTCAGCAGCCTGTCTGACAGAGGCCTCTGTGACAAGCTCACCCTGGGCACTAGCAGTACTGGTAAAGGAGCCTTCAGCTGCCTCCCCCTCTGACACGGGTGACTTCCTTTGCTATCTTGCCAGGCATGCATGCTGCACCTTACAAAGCATCCTAATAGCTGTATTTCCCCCCAATTCTACCAGTTCTTCCATTAAGCTAGCATGATACACACACACACAAAACACTAATTACCTAGAGAAAAAGGTTAAAAACATAAGGCCTAGTTTGAAATTTGTGATATATGATATAAAGATGTCCCCCTGGTTGTTTGTTACGCTGGTTGCTTTAAGAGGGAGAGTTGAACTGGAAGATAAGGGAGGGCGGGGGAGGAGGCGTGCAGAGAGATATGGTACCTGGTTGAGGGAAGGACAACAATGGCTTGAACAGCGGTTGTGACAGAATCTAGATGGAGTGGATATATGGACAAGATTGCTCGTGCACAGAGGTAAAGAGTGAGAAATGAGAAAAATCATCCACATTCTGGTGTTTGGGCTTGAACACTTGGGTTGTCAGTAGCACTATTTATTAATGTGGGAGCTTTTGTCAGGCATACATGGTGGGGGGTGGGGTGGGTAGGGATGGGAAAGATGCCATGTAAAATCCCACATGCCTATTAGACAGCAAAAATAAAACAAAAAACTGTTGGCCTCCCTGATGGCACAAGGGGATAAAGTCTTAGCACTATGAAGCCAACGGCTGCCATTTCAGCACAAGTTTGATCCTCAGCCAGGGAGCTGACCCACAGGGCACAGCAGACTTCTCCTGCCTCACCTGCTGCTCCCCTCAGCAGAGTATTTCAGTATATTTGCCTGTTCTTCTCCCCACTCTGTCTCTAGTGAATCCACCCACCCACACCTCTGGCTTGCACCTTATCTCTTGTATACATAAATACATAAACCTTTAAAAATGCAACTGTCATGTAGATAGCTGGGAACAAAAATGAATCTGAAGCTCAGGTAGGATGTCAGGTTTGGAAATAAACATAACGGAGATAGTGGGGTCACCACAGATTACAGAGAGTAGAGACAGCTATCCCCAAGCTTGGGACAGTTAATATTTAGACAGTAGGTTAAGATATTTGAGTGCCTGACAATTAATGCTGTACCTTGACCCTTATTCCACACAACGTACATTTTTGTGTGTTCTTTATCCCCATATCAGCCTGTTCCTAAGCTCATGTGTCTTCCAGCTTCTCCTTCCAAGAAGTAGAGATTTATCTTTGCTCTTGTCTTCATATGTATATGTCGGAAAACTTCATAGGTATGTGTCGGAAAACTAATTGCTGGTAAAAAGATTCCCAAAGGAAGTGATAGTCATGTGTTTGTATGTTTTTCTCTTCATAACCCCCTTTCAAAGTTTTGCCTTTTTTTCAGTCCATTGATATTTAATCTGATGAAATTTTCACCCATGTAATCCCTAGTGCTATCTATGTCTGAGAAAATACACATTACAGAGCAGGGAAAGGGGCACCCCAGGACCCCCAAAACTGTCTGCTCTAAATAGGTTCTGCCATCTGCTGCATCAAGAAAAAAATTATAAGACCTTTAATGGATAGGATCTTTAATACAACTACCATGCAATACAGAAAAGACAAAGAATATAGTTTGCAAATCAAGCACCCAAAGTTACCCATCCCCTCGTGGGTAAAAGTCTACCCAAAAGGGATTGGCCCAAAGCAAGACCTGAAAGCATATCACAAGCTTAAAGCACCTTCTGGAATGGACCCACAGAAAAGGGTCAGAAATGGCCAGACAAGTCTGGGAGAAGAACAAAATTAAAAGCCAGATGAAAGCTGCCATCGGTCTCTCACACACATCTCGTTCAACCAGTCAAGGGCCAAGAAACAAGAGCCATTTCCTCACATGTCTCTCTGCTCCATGTGCCGCCCTCAGGACTCCTTTTGGCTCTCCATCCTGCTACCTTCCTCTTCACTCTCCTCTCCAGATTCTTCTCCTCCCTCCTCAGCTCCACCCTCCTTTGAGTGGGGCAGGGAACCTGGGACCTCCCCTCCTCTGGGGACCACCCTGTTAACAAAAACATTCTATTTCTTCTCTGTCATGTGTGGGGTTACAAAGACAAAAGTTAAAAATATAGCCTTAATACCTTAGACTAAAAGACACATGAGTGTTTTTTTTTTAAAGCCATGTAGTTTTGAAGCATTTCATAAAATATAAACAAACTTAGGTAAGCAGTAACTGTGCAATTCTCCATGACTGAGTGGGCTTCAACTCATTCTTAAAAAATGAGGATTATGATTCTTTGAGTTGTTTCCAGGGAATGCTATTAGCCATTTACTTTGCTAGTCAAAGTCTTTTCACTATAGGTGATTCTGCAACTGCTGTGAGAACCTCTCCTCTGTCTTACTGGTCTCATCTTACTGGTATGGGTGTATGGGTATAGAGGTGTGTGTGTCTGTGAGTGTATGTCTCCATGCTGTTACTACATGTGGCTAAGTCAACCTTTATAATAAGTGAACTACAAGGACAAAGTAGTAGTTACTCAACATTACCTAAACATTTTTCCTTCTTTTTGAATACTCAGTGTAAGTACATGCTATATGTCAGGTACTTTATCAGTCAGGAAAAATAAAAAGATGCCTGCCTTTTGCCATTTCCATTCAATTGATTTACTGGAAATTCTAGTCACAACATATAGGCAAGAAGGAGAAATTGAAAACATCCTAATGGGAATATAAAAACTGAACTATCTCTATTCACAGATGATATGATCTTACATAGAGAATCCAAAAGAATCAACAATAACAAAAAAATTAGAATTAATAAATTAAGCAAAGTTGTATAAAGTAACTTCAACACATATTAAGCAGTCCAGTTATATTATATGCTTAGAAATAAGTAATCTGGAAAGGAGATTAAGAGAACAATTCCACTCACAATAGCATAAGAAAGAATAACATAGTTAAGAATAAATACAACCAAGGAGATGTAAGACATTTGCACTGAAAATCACAAAAAATGGCTGAAATAAATCACATTAGACCTACATAATACAAAGACATCTCATTTCATTTACAGGAGTATTTATTATTGTAAATATGGTAATATTCCCTCCAAAGGAATTTACAGATTCAGTGTAATCTCACTCAAAATTCCAACAGCACTTTTTGCAGACATGGAAAAGCTTATTTTAGGGATACAAGGAATTTAAAAATAGACAAAAAGTCTTGAAGAAGAAAAAGATTGGAAGACTTACACTTTCTGATTTCAAAACTTATAGCCACAGTAATGAAAAAAAGATGCTCGGGTATTAGGATAGAAATAACCATCAAAGTAATAGAATTGAGAATCCAGAAATAAACCCGTATTTCTTTAGCTAATTGAGTTTTGATAAGGATGCCAATACCATTCAATAAGCAAAGCAAATTCACTTTCCTTATGTGGGATAATTGGACAATAACTTTTAACAGAATGAACTTTGGGCCCTCCCTGGTGGTGCAGCAGGGAAGCACTGGGAAGCTTAAGCCACTTCCGCATGAGTTCGATACCCGCCTGCCCCGAAGGTGATCCACATGGCGTGGCAGACCTCTCCCGACCCGCCCGCTGCTCCCCTCAGCAGTGTACTTCATCAATCTGCCTGTTCTGCTCCCCACT